AGTGTAAGGTAAGGAGCAAGTAAAGCAGTCAGCCAGGCTGGGGTAAATCGAAGAATTCATATCCTGCTTAGAGTCCTGGCTGTTCCTGGAAGATTAAAGTTCTGATACAGAGAAAAGGATGGTCTATAAAGCACCCAGTAAACTGGAGTCAATATACAAATAATGAATAAATCTGTAAGTCAATTGGTGTTATGAAATAACTCATGGGCTGGGTAAAATCCTGGTTTACGGATTTTTTAATGTGTAATTTTATGATGTTTGTGCATATAAGAATCTCAGAAACAGTCGTAACATGAGAAAAACTGAGTGGGAAGAAGCTTTGTGTAGAAGAGGATATTTTAATTTGCATGGAATGCTTCTGCAGAAGTTCACATGCTAAAAAATGCATTGAAAACAGAACATCGATCACTAACATGCAGTCATGATTAGAAGTACATAGAGTATGCCAAAACAGTTTGTTTTAAACGTGACTGTACGAATCCTGTTTGAAAGGAAAGCTTGGTCTTTGCTTTACCGTCCGAGATAGAGCAGAGGTAGAGCCAGCAGTCAGATCAGTGCTGGAAGGGAAAGCAGAGGAGTGTGCCTGCATGAGACTGGATCAGCAGCTGTCAGACTGGAAGTGCAAGGCCCTCAGTGACGTGAGTCACCTGGCTGTGGGACACCACATCCACCTCTGGTGGGAGTGAGATCACATTGTCAGATGCAGAAAAGTGGGACCTGCTGGTTTGGGGTGGCAGCACGCAGACCTGCATCACATTCTGCTTGTCACACGTGGCGTGGTGTCACCAGTGCGGCAGTAGTTGCAGCTGCAACTGTGAAGTTGGTCATTCAGGTTGTGGCGTTTAAGAGTAGTCCTGAAGTCAAGAATGAGGTCTCTCAACCACCTCTGATCATTTTAGTTATAACTTAGGAATCACAGAAAAAACATCAAAGTCAGATATGAAATCAGTGTTGTGTAATCTGTGTTTTTATACCTGTTTCCCTCAGACATCGCTACAGCCTGCATGTAGATGAAGGGCAGGCTGGATTTGATGAACTGGTTAAGAGCACGTTGTGTCTGTGCCTACTAGATTTTACAATCTTATTTCGAACGATAAATTTTGTGTATTCAATTGGGAAAAAGAAAAGCTTTCTGGGTGTCTGCACACGTGTATGGCAGGCAGCACAGAACAGTCTTTATAGTCTGCAAATGCCGTTGTTTGCTCTTAATTTGGGCAAACTTACGTTCCCTTAGAAAACAGCACATTGGAAATTTCATATATAACTCAATTAAATTGAATTGTCTAAAGCTTATTTATATAAATGAGAAAATTAAAACTTTTTGGTTCAGAAAGTACACAAAACTGAGTAAAACTGGTGATTTATTGTTCACAAATCAAAACCATAAGTGTGCACACCAATTGAGCTGTAGTGTTTCTTTGTTCCAACACTTCTTTGCTGCTGAAAGATGTCAATTTATGATGTTTGAATGAATAAAGATTTGTCTTTGGTCTAGGTATTTATCATATAATTATCCCATCCATGAACAAAAGCACCGTTTGTTAATTCCAGTATTTGCCAGGCACATGTATTTCTCTAGGTCTTGCTCACGTGTCAAAAATGCCTATGCAAGTTATTCCCAAGTTTAATATAAATTGTGTGTTTTCTAATTTATCAGTAATGGTAAAGTTTCAAAATATTTTTTTCTGTATTAATCATTGAGCTGTGTGAATAGGAATGGAGTTTCAGAGGACACTTTGTTTTGGCTCGTAAAGCGTTGCTCTCCACAGTCATTTCTGTGCAGTTAACACACAGACTCCAAAATCTGACCCTTGCCTTTAGTGATCTTCAGTGTGGTAGTAAGATTAATCTTGCAAATGCAGAGAACGGAGTCTGAGGATTTATTTTGTTACTTTACCTTAGAGCACTGATAACCACCTGCAGCTTTTATTTGAGGGATGAAAATGAGAGGGCCGTGTTCGGGTCAAGAAAGAAGGTGAAGAACAATAATTTCCACTCCAGTTCTGATTTTCCTTAGTTGAAGGTGCAGTGGTTCAGTAGAGCCAGTCGGGAAAAGAGATGAGAATATATTCCAGATTTGTAGCTGGTGTAGATCAGTCTTCATTGTAAAGAGGACGGAGTCTCAGGTCCCTAACAGTCCTTCCGAGCAGCTCAGAGGTGGTTTTGCCTCTGACCAAACGTTTATGGCAAAGCTCAGATTTCTGCTGTGGGTAGTGCTCCAGTTTTTAAAGCATGACCTTGAAAGCATGCCAGCATGCTTATGTTTTCTGTGGTTATGAATTAGCCTTAGAAAATCGTGTTCTGCTCTACTGCTTAAATAAAAATTGCATGTTTTACTTCTCACCTTGGATTTCTAATAAATGCTCAGTTTTGTTGTTTTTTTCTTCAGTCTGCAGATATTTGTAAAAATTCCTGAATCTTTGTGCATTTTTAGAGTAAGTGAACTGAGTTGTATTTTGACATTTGGCGTATGTGCATTCCAGATGATGGAGTAAGTATGGCAAGAAGTTAAAAACTGGCGTAACTCAGACCCTAGATTGGATTGGATTACTGACACCTGAAATTGCCAGCAAAATATCTCTGGAGGAAAGGCTTGCTCTTTATGCACGTGTTACACGATGTTTTCCCAAAGAAAGAAGAAGGACAAATGTGAAATTAAAAACACGGCTTAATACAAAGCTTTTGAATTACTGTGAACATTACAGAGAGGTTCTCTGAAAACTCAAAAGCTGTGTGGTACAGTGTAGGAATAGCAGCACTGATGTGTGTGGGGCGGTCATATCTCCAGTTGGAACTCAAAGATTTAGGCAGGAAGATATTGCATTACTTTTGAGCTGAAGTTCCTGGAAATGTCCCCCTGACCGTGGACTTGGCCTTGTCCTGGAACTGAATGCTTGATAGCGATACAAGACGTGTGAGACCCAGAAACACAGAAAGAATCTCTTACATTTTTAGGTCGTATTTGCTTCTGTAAATTCAAGGCCATTTTTAAGCTGGAAATAAAAAAAGTCTGTATGTATATCTGTAATAAGGAGCACAGCCATGGCAAATCTCCAGTGAGGATCACTTGTCTTATGAGGCCATATCTCAGAAAGTGCTGCTTGCTCCACTCGGGCAGTGGGAGTAAGGCGTGCTTTGCCTGCGGCGAGGCCGGGCCCGTCATTATGGGATCCTGCTATCGAAACCAGACTCTCTTTAAATGCCTGCTTTTGTGATAGGTGTGGCGCATAAATGCTATTTTATTAAATAGCAAAATAAATTATTGAGGTTTGACCTCAGCTGAGGCTTTATCACTGTTGCCCCGCTGGTGAACTTGGAGGCAGAGCCGTCCCGTGGAATTCCGCATGTCGTCACTTCTCGGTGGAAAGAGTTAATGCTGCGTCTGAGCTGCACTGAGACGGGCGCTCCTGCCTACGCAGGGCCAAGCAGTGCTGTGCTTCCGCAGGGAGAGAAAGGCGGGAGTGGAAAACCAAACCTGTTGTTCGATTTGAACAGTTTCTTTTGTACTCTGAAGCAGTCTTGGGCTGCCGTGCAGCTCAGCGTGCCCTGATGGGCAGGAACGCACCCACAGCGCCCTGCACTGCGCTTGGCAGCTGAGGCGTTGCCCCTAGGACAGAAAGAACAAAAAATTCACAGCAGTCCATAAAGTTCCTGTTGGTTGGAAAGCAGAAACATCTGCTGGAGATGTGAAGTTTGTTAGCAGAGCTCCATAAGGGAAGGCTGCAGCTGGCTGGCTGTGCCCTTGGAAGCAGGCAGCTCTGCAGGCTGCATTTCCTGTGGGGCCTGGAGAGCTGTGGGGAGATTTGGGGCCACAACAGAAGGCGTCAAAATAATGGCAAGGAATTAGAATGGGCCTTATGGTTGCGTTCAGATGCGTGCTATGAACCGCCAGCTGTTTGTGGTCCAGGATGGTACCTGTGTTTTCTTAATACCACGCACGATACAGGACAGATGGACCCATCTGTAATTACAGGACAGGGGCGGTGCTGCTTTGTAAGCGCGCACGTGCAGCGCTGCGCTGCCGCAGCTGAGGGCGCACCGCGCTCCTCGGCACCGGAGCCTTTCCCGCCCTGCGGGCCGGCCGCGCGCTCAACCCGCCCCGCCCAACTCGCACCGGAGCCTCTCGCGAGCTGAGCTCGCAGCTCCTTCCTGCGCTGCCGCCATTGCGCGTATCGATGTCGATGTGCGCGCGTCGCTGTGCGTTCCTCAATTCTGCCACAGGTGAGACCTGGAGGTGAGTTTGGTACGTCCGCAGCCTTCTGAATAAGGATATACTGCGATTCCGAGGTGTTCAGAACGGCTCCATAGCTGAGGCTCCGTTTGGAAAACAGACTGAGAAAACAGGATGGAAATTCCTGTTTTTTGTCGCATAATGTCTGGGTTTGTGAGAACGCCATGCTGTTTATGGTGTGGAGGCGCCGCTCTGTATTTACGCGTCCAGCTGTGTGTGCTTTGCCATCCCCTGTTATCGGGGTTCCCAGTCTGTGTGAAGTGCTGGCTGAGCAGCTGCCGTGAACAGCTCAGCCCTGTAACACTGGCGTTCTCAAAACTCAGTTTTAAGAAATCAGAGTCACGCTCAGATGATGCTGATACAACAGTACTGGTTCTAATTCTTGTCCACTCTCCGATGTGCTTGGGGATCATCCCATGGCAGCATGAAGCCACCCTTCCATGGCCACACACTGCAGCCCCCTGCGCTCAGCACTGCCTGCTGCCCTGTGCCACACACGGCTCTCCCACATGGGGAGTCCTTAAGGCGGCGCAGTGCCTCCACCACAGACTGTGAGCTTTGCTGCTGTGTCTGAAGGACTCAAGGACTGTGAATCATGAAATATTTGTCTTCGCAATATTGACTCTCATAGCATCTCTCTTGTTTGGGGTAGTATTTTCCCCGAAGTTATATGATTAAATGGTGGTGGCTCTCAAAGTGCTTTTGTATGTTATATGGTCTGCAGAGATGAATGTTTAAAGGTAATTTTTTCCATTTTCTCATTTTTTAGTGGTTCCACCAGGAAGCCCTGGACCTATCACTCGACACGAGTCCTATGACAGCTTGGCATCCGACCACAGCGGGCAGGAGGATGAAGAGTGGCTGTCACAGGTACGTTCTGGAGAGTTCCGCTGCAGGAACCAAACAGTGCTCATCTCCACTAGGAGGAAAACTCATAACTTCACTTCAGAATTGAAAATAAACTGACAGCATACCCTGGCTGTTACCATGTTTAAGATGGACTTCGCTCCCCAATTAACATTGAACGAGTCTGATTATCTCTGAATTTTAAACAAACATATAAGCCATGTACAACCCGTTTTTCTCCTGACATCGATCTTTTCAGATGTGGGTATAGAAGTTGGCTTGGCAAAATGGAGATTTGTTCAGTGTTTCACATACTGTATTTTAGCATAAAAATAGTAGATAATCCTGCTTGGTGGGAAAGTTTCTTATGAGGTGAAATTGTGGCCATTTTAGCCATTCTTGCTTTGTTTTAGTGAGTGAAGATTCTTTTAAGAACCCAGTAAATGCTTGATCATGTGGCTCAAAGTATAATTTCAGTTGAAGAATGTAAGTTGTGAATAATATTCTGAGAATTAGATCCTCTTAGAAGTAAAAGTTTTGACAGGAAAAAAAAAGAAAATGTATGCTTTGGCTTTACCAAAGCAATTCTAGAGTACCTGATATGTGGATTTCATTCTGATGAAGCAGGTGGGTTTCCTTCTGTTTAAGAACAACATTGTTATGGGAGTGATGCATTAAATAGCTTGCTGGGGTTTGTCACATGGTTTAATGAATATTAAACATTTGTAGATGTGATTTGCTTCTCCCACTAGTGAACAAATCACTGACATTTTCCTAAAAGAAGAAGTTGGGTTTCCACAGGTGTCCTTCAGGATGTTGCATTCAATGGCAAATCTATTCTTGTGAATCCACTCACCTGGTCCAGGTTTTCAAATGCAGCATCTAACTTATCTGCCTAGGCTGTCTCTAATTTGCCAAGGCATAATGATGGTAAAACTACCAAATGGCTGCGTGCGGTGGGAGTTCTGTCACTGTGCTCGTTGGGTCCAGGATTCCATCTGTAGTTTTACTTATTACCTGGTAAAGCCTCTCCAAAACTCTTTAGATAGTTGTGCTTACATTACTGTTTTGGTGACTTTCCAGCGTATAGTGAGAAAAAGTAAACAAACCTACATGTTGGGCGTTCAGTTGTTACTATTTCTTGGAAAGTAGGGAAGTCACAGGAATTTAAGAAAGCTCAAACTTCATCACATCCATCCCTCTACAAAACTAAATATATTTATAATAAAAAATGGGAAGTGACATCACTCAGAACACGTATAATTTGGAGATTGCTTCAGGAATGTGAAATCTTTGCTAAGTGACACGAGCAGTGATACCTATTTTGAGCACGAAGGTGCGAGCATTCTCTAAGCAAGCCACTTCAGATTAAGCCTAAAGTGTAAGTATGTTTTTCAAAATTAAAGTGTTATCAACAGTAACAGCATGCAGTGAAAAAACACTGCCCTTCACTTCAACTTTTCAATTAGAACAGTGGGTAATGTGTGCTGTCAGTGTGAAGTAGATACAATATGTTTGTCCTGCACACAACAGGAGAGTGAATAGGAACATCTGGCCATAGCCTCAGTAAAATTGCAGAGGCATCTGTTTACCTCTCGGCTCTGTGACACTGATGGTTTCAAGCTTAAAATATACAGATTACTTTATCTGTGGCCTAATTTACACTGCTACATAAAAGCTACTTGACTCAGAAACATCTACAGTCAATCTGAGTTACGCTAGGATAAATGCAGGGATGGAAATAGTGCTAAATAGGCTGTGCATTTGTCGCCTTATATTAGCAGAGAACTTAAAACAACGTTATCCAGTGTTTAAAATTCCTTCTTAAGGAATTAGAGTCAGTAGTACGTGTATGCATGCACAAATAAAACCCTAAGATACTTATCTGTGTCAAATAGATAGAAAAATATATTTTCATGGGTTTCCTTGATAAATTGCATTCCCATCGTGGAGCTGATAGTTATTTTAACGTAGAAGTATAGGAAGTTTGCAGTCTATTTTTGTCATTGTAAAAACATGAGTTCAGCAGAGCTTTATATTTTCATATTGCCTGCTTCTGATCTTTAAAGGCAGATTCTTTATTCAGTTGTTACTGAGGACTGATGCTTTGTTTGCCCTTCTGATTACAAGGCCCAATCCTGATCACATACATTTTCAGCAGCATTACCATCTCAGTTTCCACAGTTGTTCACACTCCTGTAGTTGGCTTCTTTGGGACCCTGCAAAAATTTATACTCAGCAGTTTATAGTTAATAATATGATGAGACATTTTTCAAAATATTTTGGATGCTTCATTTACTACAATAGTTTGTTTTCTCAACTTCATATCTAGGCTGTCACTGGTAGAGAAGATTAGTGTTTGTTAGATGCACCTCCTGTATTCTCTGTGCCTCTTGGAAGTAGGGATGGAACTGTGAAGCTCTGCGTGTGTATCCACACACAAACATGCCCACAGATACACCTGCTATGTAATGGATGTGTGGTTGTTCAGTGCAAACAATCACCCCTATCTCTGTCTTAATTCTGAGAATTCATTTAAATGAAGGTGTGTATGTAGCTGTCCTTCTAAACTCAGTAGCTGCACACACACACATCTGTATTGCATCTGCACAGAAATGAACTTGACCCGAGGTGCTCAGTGTCTCACAATGCACGTCACATTGCTCCCTGTCACCAACCTTGCTGCTTTCCAGCAAGATGGTCTCTGCCAGTGCTATCCTCAGTATGCCAACACTAATTATGAGCTTTGGTTTGAAATACAGTTCACACTATATGCCTGTGAAACAGTGCTGTTTGGAGTGTGAACTTTGAGAAAGCAGCCGGAACAAAGCTGGAACAGCTTGTTTTTAGAAAGTGCATCCCTTATCCAGGTCAGGATTGAAGTGACTGACAAGAATATTTGGGGAATGCAGACTTCCAGTTCCTCTGCGCAAACTCCACGTGGATGCTGTCAGAAATGTGTTCCCCCACTCGCTGCCACAGCACTGGCTGTTTAGTGGTTGTGCTACAGCATCTATTTGGTGTGAGCCGTTCCCTCTGTTCCCACAGGTCGAGATAGTGACCCACACCGGGCCCCACCGGCGCCTCTGGATGGGCCCTCAGTTCCAGTTTAAAACCATCCACCCCTCAGGCCAGACCACCGTCATCTCATCCAGCTCCTCAGTGCTGCAGTCACACGGTCCCAGCGACACCCCGCAGCCGCTTCTGGACTTCGATACAGATGATCTTGATCTCAACAGTCTCAGGTAAAAGTAAAATGAATTTCCAAGCTGTTTCACATTTGTTGTGTGAATCACTTATCTTATGCTTAAATGAGGCCATCTGTATAGAACACGTAGTGCTTTTCATCAAGCTTGTCCAGATGAAAGTCTTAGAAGTGTATGACAGCAGCAATAAAGATTCATCCAGGTCAAACAGCTTAGATTCACTTTTGCCACTTCTTGTGTAAATTACAGTGAAAGATCATACAGAGTCTGGTGGCTTTCTCAGCATCATCTTGGCTTTGCAGTTTCTGCATTGCTTAAAAAATTAATTCTCTCAGACATGAGTAGGAATGTAGTGCCAGAGATCTAGGTGCTGACTAGATGAAGCAGTCGGGGTGTTGGAACAGTAAGGGAGAATAGAGAGATTAAAACAAAATGAACATGTATGTATTCATGTGCACATAGTACAAAAGGAGCAGGCGGTTACGAATGTGTCTCTTCTCCTGAACTGCTGAAGAAATTGGTGTTGTTCAGAAGGGCCTGGAGGAACTGTAAGCAGTTCAGGTCAGTTGGGTGTTTTTGTGGGGAGGCAGCTAACATCTGAGATGCAGTGGAGAGGTGCTCACTCGGTGTACCATCCTAACCTGCCTGCGGATGGGTTGTCTGTTCCTTGGCCCCTGAAAGCAAAGTAAAATTCCAGCAGGGCAGCTGATTTGAAAATAAATAGTTGCTCAATTGCTTGTTTGTTTTTGGCTTGTGATTTAATTACAGCCCATGTGAGCACTGATTTGACACAGGTGGTGACTCTAACTTATCATTTAGGATTCAGCCAGTTCGTTCAGAACCTGTTAGCATGCCCAGCTCATCGCGTGCCGTTTCTGATCGCAGAGGAGTTTCAACAGTGATTGATGCGACTTCAGGTAAGAAGGTGTTGTTTTTTTGTGTTCTTTGGTGCTTGTGGCATTCATCGATCTGGTTTTCTCTTTGTCTGGTAATGCAGTCACTAATAATGCTGTACACTTGAAGGGTTGTCACAGTTTTCAGCTGCGCTCACTGGTAAGTGCTGTCTTACACAAATGTATCTCAAAGATTGTGATGACTTTTCCTCTTACCACTCGTATCTGAAGTCACAGCATTGTCATAAAACGCAAACACTGTATTCACATTAAGCTAGAGAATGCTTAAAAATACCCAATCTAAAAAGCAGAACGTTTGCAAACACTGAGACTGAAATGCTTTTATTAATGAATGCCTGAAGCGTAGGATATTACAATTCAATCTCATTTATAAAATACATTTCATTGAGATGTAATCATAAGTGTAATTTATTTCTGTGAACGGTCAAGGCAACATGGAAGTTTAACTGATGTTTGTCTAACAGAGGCACATTTTCACTGCTCTGCTCTGGAAGAGTGTGTGTAAACGTGATATTGCAGTGGTTCATTAATATCAACACAGCAATGTATGCGCTGTAAAGTTGTTCCTTTTTCATGGTGCTGGGATATAGGCTATATAAAGAAACAAAGACAACAGAGCTTTATGTTCCAGTACAGCTGTATAGCGTCTGAAGGTTCCACACAGCAGGATTTTGTCAAATAAAATCTCTCACAAGTAGAATTATTAAACACACAGCATTAGTCAAACAGTCAAGTCAGAGAGGATTTTAATCTGTAGTGATTTGAAAATCCCTCGAGACTGCTGATTGGATTGAGGTTAAACTGTAAAAGGAGACTGTAACACATACAGAAACTGATTTCTGAAGGTTGTTTTAAAGAGAGTTAAAATAAAAGCTCCTGTTCCAGACTCTGTTTGCTGTACATGTAAATTCTGAGTCCAAGATTCTGCATCGTTTGCCAAATTAATTTATTTGAGTATTACAGGATATTTCTTAGATCTGTTTATAACTGTGTTCAGTAATAACTGCATTTATGTTGGATATTGAAGATTGTCATTGTAAATTCCATTTTCAAGTATCGAAAACCAGTTAAATTAATTCCCATTGAGCTTGGACATCTGATGGTGGTTCTTTAAAGGGAATTATATTTGCTTTAGTGTATGTGAGTGTAATTTTGAAAGTTCTGATTTGCTGTGTAATCTGTGGGCATTACCTCTGGAAGCTTCAGTTACAGCAGTGCTTCTGTCTGTATCTGACACTTCAGATTCAGAGTGATTAATGACATGGCTGTCCCTTGCTATCAGTGTGACTCTGCCAGGTGATACAGATAGAGGCATCTGCATTATCAAGGTTGGCTTCTTTTGTATTTTTTTTTCCTAAGTGTGAATGGAGCAGTGCAGTTCCCTGGAACAGGGATACGTATTAATTCTGAAACACAGCTACTCTGTAACAGTACCACATTCTAAAGCTGTTTTGTTCCAACAACACTGGAAACAATGAACCACATTCGGACCATACTTCTGTGCTGAGCAGCCTTTCCTATAGAATAGAGGGGCCTTAATGTGAAATGGCTCATATGAATGTGATGAAGCTACACTGGTAATGCCTTTAACATGTGTGTCCATATTAAAATTGCCAAAGTCAATTTTATACATTGTTATGACACTAAAAATATATTTACTGTACAGCAGTGACTCCATTTTATTATAACACCTCGTAAGTTTCTTATAAACAATACATGGGTTTTGTTAGAGACATGCTGATAGCAGTATTTATTTAGCTTCGCTGCCAGGCTGTTGGAGTTTGAATTGATTTTTGATTCAGGGACTTGAACATCTATTTGCAGTTTTCATATTGCCTGGTCCTTAGTTCCTTCCCATGCAGAAAGTATTTGTCCAAACTTAGGGTGTGTGTGTGTGTGTGAAATGGTGTAGGAGTTCTACAGGGTCAAAGAGACATGAGAAAAAACGTGTGCAGTTTTTGAAATCTCATACTGTCCTTGTAATAGAGTTGGGCAGCAGGAAGAGGAGCAGTGCTTCCTTTCTTCCTACCTTGGAGGCGTGTAGAGGACTGCATTCAGCTCAGCTCTGCATGTGAAGGTTTTATTTCAAAACCTTATATGCAACATTGTGTTATTTTAATACTGTATCCCACTACAGTAAATATGCTCACTTCCTGCTAGTACTGAGGCATACTGTAAGTGGTTTGCGTTCTTTGTGGAAAATGAATTTATTGGAAAATACGTATTTAGGTTTGAAGCATTTTTTTAAGTAGGTCATAAATTTTTGCTGGCTAAGTTGAACCAGGAAGTGATCCTTCAGCTCTGCCCCGTGCATGCGAGTCTGGTGCACTTTATAAAGATGTTTATCTGGTGTTGCTTAGAGACACAACCAGCGTGGCGCCTCTCCTTATCTGACTCCATCGCTTGTTCTCCCTATCAAAAGATTTCAAGTACATGTTTATCATCTGTGATTTTTCCATCATTCTTTTTAGCTTCCTTCCGTCTCTCCGTTGGTGAGAACTTTGTCATTGCAGCTAATAAGACATCTGTGCAGGTTTTTTAATTGTGATTTGTGCACGTGTCTGTGCAGTGATGCTGTAATAATGGCAACGTTCTCTCACCAAGGCATTTGAAAAAAAAATACTCATTTGAACAGAGCAAAACTTAATTATGAGAGTATTTTCGAGGTGGATATCAGTATCTGTAAAGATAGTGGATACATAAAGAAAAAAGGTAGAGGTCAATATAATTATCTCAGTTTCACTTACAATTTTTCTAAGCTATTGTTCTCTGTGTTTGTTTTTTTATCTTTAATCAGTAAGATAAGTTTGCAAAAATGCAGGCACCTGAAGCTGCTGGACACGCATCCTCAGCACACACGTATTGGTTGGACACATCATAGAGAGAACATGCCCTCAGGGATTAAATGCACTGTAATTCCAGAAGCTGTTCCAGAGCCACAGTTTAATGTTGAAGGGACAAAACTTGAGTTTAAAGCTTTGTAACACAGGAAGTTTATAATATGCACTGAAGGGAAGACTTTACTCATGGCAGAAACACACTGTATATGGGAGAGGCGTGCAGTAAGTCAGGTTATGTTCAAGACTTTCTTTGGACAGCAGAGCAGAATAGAAAACTGGTAAGTGTCCATCTGCAGGAGGTGCTGCAGCTGAACAACAAACAGTTCAGACATCTAACCCAACAATCTCTGAGATCTGTAGGGCAACAAGAGGTGTCCACCACAGAATGATCCGGCTCTATTTCAAACTATTCTGCTGGCATGACTTTAAAACTTTAACTGTAGACGTTGATTGCTGTTCCTTTCTTTGGTGTGACATGAATTACATATGATTTTTGGATAGCTGAGGTATCTACAAAATTACTGGAACTAATCTGGGAAGCAGCAGCAATCACCTAGGTAGGCAGCTGAGTATCTCCAGTGATGAATGGGTGCTTTTCAGAAGTTTTATACTCTAACCTGTAGCTGAGTAATGTATGTGTTACCTGAAAAATCACAACTTACAGAACTCTGTTACAAATAGCTAATGGAGGAATTAAAGGCTGCAGGAAGGCTGGAGAATCTGCATGGAACAGCAAATCTGAACTGGCAGAAATAGAAGAGCTCTAGAGCAAGGATGTTGCAGCTGTTCCTGATCACACAGCTGCGCTGAGTCTGTATGGGCAGACATTTCCTTTAAGCTGCAACAAATGTGTTGTTGAAGGGCGTGGGTATTCAGGTGTGCTGTTATACCTGTAAATTCAATCCTGCTTGGTTAAGAAATCTATCTGCATCTGTCTTTTTTTATGAAAAGCAGAGTGTATTCCCTCATGCAAACAAGTTTTTGAACACTTAGCAGTCAAGTAATGATTTTGTTACATTGTCAACTCAGCAAAAAAAAAAAAAAATTTGGCCAGGAAGAAGCTGTCTGATCTTTCGCATCAACGTTTTCCTTTCCTACGATCCATTTCTTTCTTGCCTAGTACAGAAATTGGTTATAGTAAGAAAATGTTGATGAATGAAATGTGGTTTTTTGTGCTTTTTTTCCCCTTTGGTTGTGTGTAGGCCAGGCAGAACATCTATATTCTCTTCTAGAACCTGGCATGCGCTGTGCTTCTTAGGGACGCAGACATCATTTTTTAATGAGGATTGTTTATTACTGTTGTATGAAACACTGACAACACGAAGCTTTCTTCTGGTTACTTCAATCAATGCCCTCTTAAAACTGGCTTATAGTTTAGTACTTCCCTCTTCTTTGTTTGCCACCGGTGGCTGTGAATAGATGGCAGTGGGCTTAATGAGCAGAACTGATGTGCTGGGACTGTGACTGGGGTTTAGTGGGGGTGGGAGGTTGCCCCCCTCCCTCTGCCTGTAAGAGATCTTTCATTGTTCATCACCACACCTGTGAGACAGGGACCCTGGGACAAATTCTTAGTGTCCAGCAATGCTCTCACTTGGAATTTAATAAACACTTCTGCTGTCACACCTTAAACCATCTGAGCTCTTTTCTGTTGTACGTGCGATCAAATATTTATTCCCAAACGCTGTACATCAGAAAGTGCTGCCTTGGAGTAGCGGAGATCAGTTATTCAGGTAGTAAAGATGTGTGAATGCAGCTGGCAGATGAAGTCACCAACATTATGAATTCCCAGGCTGTCCTTCTTGCCACAGGCAATAACTGACAGGCCTGAGCGGGCGGCGGTTTCCCGTTACGGGTGCTGGTAGGGCCCGAGGATCCCGGTGTCATGGATACTTGAGCTGCCCTGCTTGAGTGGAGCCGGCCAGCGCTGCGGGGCCTCGCACAGAGCTGTAACCGATCCGGTCTGGAATCCTTGACCCGAACCTGTAATTACCTGGATGGTATAAAGGTGGATTGTTGTTGCAGGTAGAGATTGCGCTCAGATCCTCCGAGCATAATGCTGAGCTTTGAAGCCAGGGAACAGCTTTGGCCCTTGGTCTGTTCTTCACAGCAATCGAGAGGTTTTAATAATGGTCATATAACAAGCTGTTCTTAGGGGGCATCACC